GAGAGTGTGTGTGAGAGTGTGTGTGAGAGGGTGTGTGAGAGTGTGTGTGTGTGTGTGTGTGTGAGTGAGAGAGAGTGTATGAGAGAGTGTGTGCATGTGTTTGTGCGAGAGTGTGCGTGTGTGTGAGTGTGTGTGAGTGAGTGAGTGTGTGAGTGAGTGTGTGAGTGTGTGTGTGCGAGTGAGTGTGCGAGTGAGTGTGCGAGTGAGTGAGTGTGCGAGTGAGTGTGTGTGCGAGTGAGTGTGTGTGTGCGAGTGAGTGTGTGTGTGCGAGTGAGTGTGTGTGTGCGAGTGAGTGTGTGTGTGCGAGCGAGTGAGTGTGTGTGCGAGTGAGTGTGTGTGCGAGTGAGTGTGTGTGCGAGTGAGTGTGTGTGTGCGAGTGTGTGTGTGTGCGAGTGAGTGTGTGTGCGAGTGAGTGTGTGTGCGAGTGAGTGTGTGTGCGAGTGAGTGTGCGTGCGTAAGAATGTGTGTGTGAGTGTATTTCATCACCTCTCTAGCGAGGGCAAGGAAGTTGCTGTTGAGCTGCACGTTGGACATGATCTCCGTCAGATCTTCAAAATCCTCCACATCTTCATTGAGCTCCAGGAACATGCCGTGTCGACCCAACATGAACGACATCTGCTTCTGAATGACACTGAACACACACACACACAGCAGACGTTACTATCCATGCAAACCAGTTTGAGATTCAGTTTTAGGATTTTTCACGTGCGTCATACATGTCCTTGCAGGAAGTAAAGATGTTCTCCACCAGCTCCACATCATTAAGTATCAGCGCGAGCCTGAGGGCTTCTGGGTAACGGTTAAACTTGCGGAAGATGCTGAGGGCGCATTTCAGCAGAGCCGAGTTCTCCGGCTCGGGGACGTAACTCACACAGCTGGAGACACAAACACAGATCAGAGTGGGACGACACACTCAGAGACACGTGCTCAGATGCACTGTGGGTAACCGCGTCTCACCTGGTCAGGTACAGGCAGACTTTAGAGTAGGCGTTTTCGTCGATGTACGTGTCCAGCATGTCAAGCCGCTCGATTTCCATCAGGAGGTCACAGGCCTCGTGCTCGGCATTATGGGCCATGTTATACGGGACGATCTCTTTGACCAGCTTCAGCAGCAATTCCTGTTGAGCTTTATCCCCTTCCTCGATCTCCTGCCATTCCTTAGCCACCTCTCCTGCCAGATGCCTGCAAACACACACGAGATCAGGTCACCGACCGGCTCATTTAGTTCGTTTTAGACACGAATGAAATCACAGACTGCACTTCTGAGCAACAACTCGTCAAAGGCAAGTTTGTGAGGTTCATAGAAACAAATCATGCAAAAACTTCAAGAAAATTAACAAACATAAATTAAACCGAGATCACTGGTTTCTAGTCTAATGCAGTGCTGTTTCAGTATTATTTACATACTATTTTTGAATGCATAAATATTTAGAATTAGCTTTTATTTTTATACATTCATTTTAATTTTAAAAAAAGGACATATATTATTTACATTTAGTCATTTAGCAGATGCTTTTATCCAAAGCGACTTACAAATGAGGACATTTTTGAGTTTTTGTTCAGTTAAAGATTCTGTTTATTTTAACGGATTTTTGTAATTTTATGCACTTTTCTCATTTTTATTGCTTTTTAAAAAATATTTCGATTTTTTTTTTGTAGTTTTAGAATTTTAATACTTGAAACCTAAACATTGTATTTCAGTTAGTGGCCAAAACAACATTTATGATTTGTTTATATAATTTATAAATATTTTGAATTTGCTTTTATTTTTTCATATTTTCAGTTTTCATTTTAATTTTAGTCATTATGTTATGCACCTTTAAAAATGCAAATTGTTGTTTAAAAAAATATCCAAAGCAACATTTGTTTATCTATACGAGGGGAGAAATAAATTCTGATTTAAAAAATAATATATAATAATAATTATAATAATGATGATAATTATAAAAATAATAATAATGTAAATAATGCATTTTTGTTGTATCTACAAACCAATTATTTTTGACCAAAGCAACTTTTCTAATTTTTGTTATAAAATTTATAAATATTTCGAACTGAAATTAAAAAGAAATGCTAATTAGAAATGTAAAAACATAATAATAATAAAAATGACAAGAGCACATAATTACTGAAACTTAAACTAAAATGAAAACCAGAAATATATCAATTAAAATTTGCTGTAGTTTTAGTAATTCTATTTAAGCTTATTTCAGTTAGCGGTCAAACATTTCAAATTTTCGTTTATAGTATTTATAAATATAAAGCTAATTAGAAATATAAAATAAATAAAAAAATCCACATAAAAAAATTACTAAAATGCAAATTAAAATAAAAAAATAACACCTTTATTTTGTCATTTTAGTACTTATTTCAGTTAGTGGCCAAAGCAACATCACTAATTTTAGTTTTAGTTTTTCATAACATATATTAAAAATGATTTCCATTAGTTCCAGTTAGCATGACACTGGTGTAATGTCTGTGTCTCTAGCATGTCGTACCGGACGTATTCGTGTCCCCATGAGGCCAGCTCCTCCTGTGAGCCCAGCAGACGGTATTTCAGACACTCTCGCTCGCTGCTCATAGTCATCGCGAGAACAGACACCACGTCAGCGCAGAACTGCTGTGAAACGGAGAGAGAGAGACTGTCAGACCGCACACAAACACTCCTCAGATCACGCTGCCTGCCTGACGCCGCAGACGCACACCTTGTTGTCTCCTGACGTCATGTTCTGGTAGCTCTCCTTGAGTTTGGCGTAATGCGGTCGCAGGAACTTGAGCGGTTTAGGCACCGATGTCATGGAGGTCGTGGAGGAGCGAATCTGACGCCGCAGTTCTTCCAGAGCCGGACGATACAGAGACGTGTCCTTCTCCTGAGAAACACAGAAAACACATCCGCCGTTCACTTCTGTAACATCCGGTGGGAAATAATAGGTCAGAACGTGACTTTTTGCATAAGGATTTGACTGTTTCGTGAAAATGGTTAATGACATTATTCGCAAACATTTTTTTGCATTTAATATTTCAAAATAGTTTGTATTTCTTTTTATTTCAGTTTTAGTCATTTTAATACTTTAACGTTAACTTATTTCAGTTAGTTGCTAATAAAACATTTCTAATTATCTTTAAAATATTTTGGTCTTTTAAATTATTTGGTCTTTTTATTTTTTTGCATTTTTTATTCGTTTCAATTATTTCTAAATAGTTTTAACGTCTTTTTATTTCAGTTTTGTTCATTTTAGCACTTAACCTTATTTTCTTACTTTTGTTTTATCATTTTTAATATTTCAAAATTATTATTTTTTTTCAGTTTTTAGTCATTTTAATACCTTAACGTCAACTTACTTCAGTTAGTTGCTAATAAAACATTTCTAATTATCTTTAAAATATTAAATTTTATTTGGGTTTTTTTTTATTAGCATTTTTATTATTTTTTAATTATTTCAAAATTGTTTTAATCTTTTTTTTTCAGTTTTAATATTTTTAGTACTTCAGCTTTATTTTAATTTCTTTTATACATTTCAAAAAAGTTTGTATTTCTTTTTATTTCAGTTTTAGTCATTTTAAAACTTTAACGTCAACTTATTTCAGTTAGTTGCTAATAAAACATTTCTAATCTTTAAAATATTAAATTTTATTTGGTCTTTTTTTTATTTTTTTGCATTTTTTATTCTTTTTAATTATTTCTAGTTTTAACGTCTTTTTATTTCAATTTTGTTCATTTTAGCACTTAACCTTATTTTCTTACTTTTGTTTTATCATTTTTAATATTTCAAAATTCTTTTTTTCCCCCAGTTTTTAGTCATTTTAATACCTTAACGTCAGCTTATCTCAGTTAGCTGCCAAGAAAACATTTCTAATTATCTTTAACCCATTCAATTTTATTTGGTCTTGTTTGTTTTTATTAGCATTTTTATTATTTTCAAATATTTCTAAATAGTTTTAACGTCTTTTTATTTCAGTTTTGTTCATTTTAGTATTTTATCTAATTGGCATATATTATTATTACATCATTACTATTATTAGTATTGATTATTCATTATTTAGCATCAATTATTCGTTTTTTTTTTATTATTATTATTAATTTGATTGCGAAACATGGACGAATAAGTCATCAGTAAACATTATTGTGCATTTCATAGAAGAATAAAAGCATTGCACTTACACTGAGTCTCTCCACGAGCATCTCCAGCTCCTCCTGCAGCTGTCTGTCCTCCTCTGACTGCAACACAAACACAAACACTCACTCAAATAATGCATTTTTGTTGTATCTACAAACCAATTATTTTTGACCAAAGCAACTTTTCTAATTTTTGTTATAAAATTTATAAATATTTCGAACTGAAATTAAAAAGAAATGCTAATTAGAAATGTAAAAACATAATAATAATAAAAATGACAAGAGCACATAATTACTGAAACTTAAACTAAAATGAAAACCAGAAATATATCAATTAAAATTTGCTGTAGTTTTAGTAATTCTATTTAAGCTTATTTCAGTTAGCGGTCAAACATTTCAAATTTTCGTTTATAGTATTTATAAATATAAAGCTAATTAGAAATATAAAATAAATAAAAAAATCCACATAAAAAAATTACTAAAATGCAAATTAAAATAAAAAAATAACACCTTTATTTTGTCATTTTAGTACTTATTTCAGTTAGTGGCCAAAGCAACATCACTAATTTTAGTTTTAGTTTTTCATAACATATATTAAAAATGATTTCCATTAGTTCCAGTTAGCATGACACTGGTGTAATGTCTGTGTCTCTAGCATGTCGTACCGGACGTATTCGTGTCCCCATGAGGCCAGCTCCTCCTGTGAGCCCAGCAGACGGTATTTCAGACACTCTCGCTCGCTGCTCATAGTCATAGCGAGAACAGACACCACGTCAGCGCAGAACTGCTGTGAAACGGAGAGAGAGAGACTGTCAGACCGCACACAAACACTCCTCAGATCACGCTGCCTGCCTGACGCCGCAGACGCACACCTTGTTGTCTCCTGACGTCATGTTCTGGTAGCTCTCCTTGAGTTTGGCGTAATGCGGTCGCAGGAACTTGAGCGGTTTAGGCACCGATGTCATGGAGGTCGTGGAGGAGCGAATCTGACGCCGCAGTTCTTCCAGAGCCGGACGATACAGAGACGTGTCCTTCTCCTGAGAAACACAGAAAACACATCCGCCGTTCACTTCTGTAACATCCGGTGGGAAATAATAGGTCAGAACGTGACTTTTTGCATAAGGATTTGACTGTTTCGTGAAAATGGTTAATGACATTATTCGCAAACATTTTTTTGCATTTAATATTTCAAAATAGTTTGTATTTCTTTTTATTTCAGTTTTAGTCATTTTAATACTTTAACGTCAACTTATTTCAGTTAGTTGCTAATAAAACATTTCTAATCTTTAAAATATTAAATTTTATTTGGTCTTTTTTTTATTTTTTTGCATTTTTTATTCTTTTTAATTATTTCTAGTTTTAACGTCTTTTTATTTCAATTTTGTTCATTTTAGCACTTAACCTTATTTTCTTACTTTTGTTTTATCATTTTTAATATTTCAAAATTCTTTTTTTCCCCCAGTTTTTAGTCATTTTAATACCTTAACGTCAGCTTATCTCAGTTAGCTGCCAAGAAAACATTTCTAATTATCTTTAACCCATTCAATTTTATTTGGTCTTGTTTGTTTTTATTAGCATTTTTATTATTTTCAAATATTTCTAAATAGTTTTAACGTCTTTTTATTTCAGTTTTGTTCATTTTAGTATTTTATCTAATTGGCATATATTATTATTACATCATTACTATTATTAGTATTGATTATTCATTATTTAGCATCAATTATTCGTTTTTTTTTTATTATTATTATTAATTTGATTGCGAAACATGGACGAATAAGTCATCAGTAAACATTATTGTGCATTTCATAGAAGAATAAAAGCATTGCACTTACACTGAGTCTCTCCACGAGCATCTCCAGCTCCTCCTGCAGCTGTCTGTCCTCCTCTGACTGCAACACAAACACAAACACTCACTCATCTACAACAGCACACACACTCATCTACAACAGCACACACACTCACTCACACACACACACACACTCATCTACAACCACACACACACACACACACACACACACACCAGACGTCTGCAGACCGCGGCAGAGAACTGTCTTGAAGCCAGAGAGATGGACTTCTCCTCAGAGCGCAGTATTTGTGAACTACAGCCACACATTCCTTCACTAACCCCTGTGTTTACATCTCTATAAACACCCTGAACGGCCGGTTTACTCAGCACGCCGCTCGTATTAACGTCTGATAACCACAGATGCGGTGTTTTAACGTGTCTTGTGTCGTTACATCTGCATAATCTTTGATAAATCGTGTTTAATCGCGGAAACGAGTGTGTTTTGTGGATGTGTGAGAGTGTGCGGCCTGCGGAGTGACTCAGGCGGAATCCACACTCAGCCCTCAGCGCCCGTTTCTCGCTCTCTCACCAGCTCCTGCTCCTCTTTCTTCTCCTTGTCTTTCCCCGCCGGTTGTTTGTTCTTCTCCTCCGTGATCTCCGCCTGCTTTTTCTCCTTTTTCGCGGTTTCCTCCATGATTTTGCCTGCTGCTGTTTCTCTGAACGCGACTCTCCACCGCTGACGCCGTTTCTTCTTCTGCGGCGGATGCGTGTGAGCGCTCTGAGTGCTGCAGCACGCCACCGCCACCCCGCGGCCGCACGGAGAACTGCACTGTGTGTGTTTCCCCTTTTTATTTTCAAGTGAATTATTGTTATTGTCACCAACTATATTTCATAGGCTATTTTTGAGCAGCACAGCCCTGTAACTTATACCAGTGTTATTTTAGCAACAGTGTTGGGGAAAAATACGTTTAAAAGTAATGCATTATTGCGTTACTGAATATAAAAAGTTCTACTTTTGGCAAATGTAAAAAGCCCTTTCACATCAAAAGTGAAATGAAAAAGTAACTCAGATATGTTCTTCTAAATTAAAAAGTAACGTGTTACTTTACTAGTTATCTGATTACATGACTTGCGTTACTTGTAGTGCATTACCCCAACACTGTTTAGCAACTATTATAGTTTTTATTAATATTTATATATATTTTATATTTTCTGTTTTCATTTTCATTTTTTAGTTAAAATGTAGTGATTTTTTACATGACTTGCGTTACTTGTAGTGCATTACCCCAACACTGTTTAGCAACTATTATAGTTTTTATTAATATTTATATATATTTTATATTTTCTGTTTTCATTTTCATTTTAGTTAAAATGTAGTGATTTTGCTGTGTGTATTTTTGTCGTTTTTATTAGGTTATTTTTATATTAATTTTATTTTTGTTATTTTAGTACATCAAGTTAAACTTAAAGAAATGTTGATTAAAATGAGAAATCACAACTAACTGAATATTTAATTTCAGTTCAAGTTTATTGTATTTCAAGTAATGCATTTTTTTATGGTTTTAGTTTTTTAGTTTTTCATCAGCATCATCATCGTTTAATGCATCACGGTCACTTTTGTAATTTATATTTTACTTTATGAGTTTCTACCATTTCTGACTAGATTTTGTTCATCAATAATTATATTAAAAGGTGTCAAAAAGTACAATAAAGTTGTATATTTAATATATTTTAAAGCAACTGTTTGCACATGAATGTCTGACATCAGTAATGAGCAGCCAATCACATGCCTTGAAACTGTGATTCAGTTTTCGTGAGAGAGTCAGTGCGATTCGTTGCTACCAACGATTAAAAGATTTTCATTAAGAGTTTAAACACATTTACACGGAGCGAGAGAATAAAGGAAAGAGTGAACAATGAAGAATTAAGAAAAGAACAAGAAATTCATGAAAGAAAAAATGACACAAATTAACAAAAGAATAAAAAAGCTAGAACAAATAAAAACAAACAACAACAAAACAAACAGAAAAAGAACAGAAGAAATAAAAACAGACGAAGTACGAAAGAGCAAGAGAATGAACGAGTGAACACACTGAAGAATAAAGAAAACTAAATATCTCAAAGAAAAATAACAAATCAATCAGAACAAACGAGTGAACGAAAGGTACAACAAATACAAATGAACGAATTAAAGAATAATTTAACAAACAGAAAGAGAGCGGAAGGAATACACACAAGAATGAAAGAACAAATAAGAACAAGAGAAAAAGAGCAAGAGCACGAACGATAGAGTGGACAAACTGAAGAATTAAAATAAAGAGAAAAAAATAAGAGCGAACAAACAACAAAGAGAAAACAGAACAAGAAACTGAATAAGAAAATATGAATTTTGAAAAAAATCAAAAGAGTGAATGCACTGAAAAAAATATTGAAAATAATGAATAATAATAAACTAAAATAAAAAAGAAGAACAACAGAACAAACAAAAGTTGAAAAAGGACAGCCGTGACCTGTTCTTCATCATCATCATAATTTTATGAAACACAATCCTCTCCAGAAACCCGACGGCTTTACTTTAAAACACAAGGCCTGAGTTTATGGACATATTATTCAGCACACGAACACAAACAGAAAGAGAGAGTCTCGATTTGTCCCAGACGTGTACAGAAGCATTCTCATAGTCGAGGTATACCTATGATGAAAATTACAGGCCTCTCTCATCTTTTTAAGTGGGAGAACTTGCACAATTGGTGGCTGACTAAATACTTTTTTGCCCCACTGTATACGGCGCACACATGCATCCTCAGTGTGTTTAGTGCCCGTAATTACCTTTAAAGATGGTTCCCCATAAATCAGCGGGCAATTGTTGTGCAGGACTTCTTCATTTGTTGATGAAATATTTCTCAATCCTGTAGAACTGCAGCACGGCAGCAACAGCAGATTCATCATGCACACACTAGATTGGATTATCTTTATAAAGGCCCGTGGAACGAGCTGCTTTTGAGATGCATTCACATGTTTTACAGGCACAGCGTCTCTGGCCTGCAGTGCAGATGCTGTTTGCTCACAGATTACAGATCAGCACAACATCTAACACATGCATTATCATTAAAAATTACCAACCATGCTTTCCACTTCAGCTCCGAAGCTTCTTTTTGAGCGTCAAGTGACTTTAAATGCGTGCATATGCTTTGAACCCCCTCATTAGGACTAATTGTTGTTTATAGACTCATTTGAAGGCCTTTGATTCATCGCTGCGTTCACAAGCACAGTTATAGCAAACACTATGTAAACAGACTCAAATAAAACGCTGAACTCAACAGCTGTAACGGGGAACGGTCCTGTAACGTTTACTAAAGGTTATGTGAATGTTAGGACATGCTCTTAAAATAATGTTTATGGAACGTTCTAAATATTTGATGGAATGTTCGAGAGGAAACGTTCTCGGAACGTCCTTGTTATGTTATTAGTACTCGATGAATGTTCTCATAACGTTGAGGAAACTATTTGTTGTTATGATTCTTATTGATATTTTCTGAATGTTTTTGTAATGTTCATGGAGCACCCATACAAAGGTATTTGTTTTTGCTGAATGTTCTTATAATGTTGCAGTAACGCACCAACACACCTACAACACACACCTGGCAAAACAGTTCATTTCATGCTCAACATACACTAAAAAAACACTAATTTTCAAAATACAATAATACATTAACACAATACACTATGACTACCAAAACACTGCAAACATGTCTCAAAATCAAATAATTATTCCAAAACACTAACAACAGGAACATTTAGTCCATCATAGCACAATGTGTATATATATATATATTATAAAGCGAAGAGTTCCGGTGCTTGATTCTGATTGGCTGAGCCGCGTTCGAAGCTGTTGTAAATGACGCTACAAAGTAACACACACCTTTGTTTACGTTTGTGTGTTGCTCGGCAACCACTTTGTAGCAACCACAACTGTTTCTGAGGCGCTACATTGTTTGGTGGAAGAACACTGTGTTTATTAATATCATTACACTTTATTTGCTCTGCTTTATTTTGTGAAACCTTACTACGTATATAACCGTTTTATAAAAGCAGTAATCCCCGTGAAGCCGTGGTTTACAGTGAATTTATAACAGCTGAGGGGGTTTAACTCCGCTTCGCATTGTACCTAACAACGCCCCTTAGCTGTTACATATTCACTGTAAACCACGGCTTCACGGGGATTATTGCTTTAAAATTGAACTGAATTAATATACTTCACAATATATACAATAATAAAATATTTTAATATTAATATAATATAATAATACTATATATATATATATAATACTATACATAAAAGAAAAAACATACTTCATCCTGAAAAAAAATATATTTTATATTAAATTAAATTTTTTCAAATTGTACAATACATAAAAGAAAAAATATATATATACTTAAAAATAAATACAATAATAATAATATATTTTAATATTAATATAATATTATATAATAATATATATACATATAATAATAATTCTATATATATATATTGCATAAAAGAAAAAAAACATATATTTCATTCTGAAAAAAATTAAAAATTATATTTGATATTAAAAACAGGTCATATTTCATTAACATATTATACTTTGCAGTGAAAATATTTCAAAATGCAAAAGGCCTTAATGGTCGTTAAACACGCTTCATTTATGCTAGAATAATTTCATAATTTATATAATTATATAAATATGTTTCTTTACAGTTTTGATCAGATTCACCCATAAAAAAAGCTTTTTTCGACGTTATTCAAACTTCACCTGATTTTTTAAGTAATTGATTACATTTGAAAGCAATTGATATTGCTTTAAATATCTGTACATGATGACTATTAATAAGAATCATTTAGAATAATGTCTTTATTTATTTTATTTGCTAAGTAACTGCGTATCAAGCGTGATATAAGGTACAGTTATCGCACGTACAGTAACGCACAGATGATCATCGCCGTAGAATAACCCTCTCCACTTCACTTTATCATCGCTTACACAACCTTACGAAACACTAACACAACCAAAACCAGCATGAACACGGTGGAGATGAGTCAAGAGTTTCAATTTCAGTCAGGAAAGTCTGCGTTCCCTCAGGAATGTGTTCGTGTCTTTGTTGTTGCTTCATGTGTTTCAGGCTCTCGGCTTCATTGGTCCTGCTTTCATCTGATGTTCAGTCTCCTCTCCTCGTCCCCTCCGTCTGCAGAGCTCCGCCGTCACCGAGGCCTCGGCCGATTCCGGTTTGAAGCTTTAATGCTCGTCGTGATTTAGTGTCACGTGCTTCCGTGAAATATTCCATCATTTAAAGTCTCTTCTCTTATTCATGCTGGCTTTTGTGTTGGCTCCCGCGTGAGAGAATGAAGCTCAGGGACGGGAGATGATCTCTAAAAGCATTTATCAGAATCGCTACAATCAGCCTTCATCTGCTTCGGCCAAACAGACCTTGACATTCAGCTGAAGAGCTGCAAGAAAATAACAGGTTTTCAATCAATAATATGAGTTTGCTCAGAAAAGCGGGCGGTGAGATGCCTTTAAACCACGTTTAGATTGAAGATGCAGGTAAAAAGCATGCTTTGAAACACAAAGAGGTGATTTTTCTTCAATGCTTCATGTTATATGGCTTACTGGACGTGCTCAAACCTGTTCTTCTACTGGACTAGCTCACCTGAAAATGAAAACTTTGATAGCACAGTTTGAACAAAACGTAACTTTCTGGAATATCCTTCACATGTTTCTGTATGGACTGCTTTTATGGCGCTTTTTTTTTGGGTCATTTTTGGAGAAAATGACAAC